CCCCAAAACCCCAAAACCCCAAAACCCCAAAACCCCAAATCAACAAAAAATTATTGAGATTTAGATTAAAATAGAATCTAGTCTTACATGCTATGTGCTGATTTAGGGAATACTCCTGAGTTAGATCTTTCAGTGTAAGCTTCTCCTTCAAGGATCCTCTTGGCTGTATCTGTGTCCTTTTCAGGAGATATCATCGTGTCAAAGCGCTCTCTGGTAAAGTTCTCTCAGTTGTTTTCAAGAATATGCTCGAGATCTTGCTTTTCATGGTCTAACATTATGTGTAGGTGATCTAAGAAATCTTGGCTGCTGTCATTGCCGCTATTGAGACTACTAGAGATATCTTTATCCATGTATATTTCCTAAATATTGTTAGAGAAAGCTTACTTCTTCCTTTACGTTTTCTGGAGATAAAGTCATTTCGAAGAAGGATTCTCTTCCGTCCATTAAGCTCTGTCTTTCTTGGATAACTGACTTTCAGAGGTCGTAGATGTTGCTATCAAGGTAAAGCTGTAGATCCTGGATTATTAGATTCATCATTTTTCCGACAAGCTTCTCAACTGCCCAGTCTGGTGATTTAGAGTCAAAATCAAAAATATGCACAAGAGGCTTAGCCCCTTTAGTAGCGTTTTGGACATCTCTTTGCAAGTTCTTAAGATCTACATCTTCTTCCTGAAGGTTGTGCAGCTTCAGTCTAATGATTATTACGATCATAGGGAGTCTCTCTGAGCCTATTTCATTAATAAATTAAAGTATCATCGACTTGCTTACTGCTATAATTTTCTGACCGCTTGGTAATATTTTCTACCAAAAGTTTGTAATCCTCTATCAGACCTGGAGTGATGTGTAAATGAACCATGTAATCTTTGAGTCTCTCCGATTTGATCATCCTCGCGATACTCTCAGCTTTGGTGAAGATAGCATTGTGATTGGGCGGCAGCCCAAACTCAATCCTATTCACTGTCTTTCAGTATTGGCTAGAGGGAATGATAAATCTGGAAGGGATAATTATCACTGGCAGAAAATGTAACTCTTAGTCTTACTTATTTTAAAGTATTCTTGGCTCCATGACTCTTCTTCTCATTGAACACCTCAGGGTTGAAGTAATCACCTGAGAGAGCAAGGCAGTCTGAAGTCTTGGTCCCTGGTAAGGCTTTACAACCGAATACGTAAGGTATTCAGTATTCAGGGAATGTGGGTCCCATGTATTTGTTAAACACTTCCATTATTTTTAGGTAGATTTTTGGTTTATCCTCTTTTGTCCTGTGTAGGCAGATATCATCATCAAAAGTCAGGTTTGCTTGTGAGAAATCTAGTCCGTAGAAGGGAATTATATTCATTTCCCTCTGGCTTAGGACTTTGAAGACAGACATTGACTCAACCTTTTTGAACCCAATGATTGTGAAATCGAATGATTTTCAGTAGTCTTTATCAACTAAATTTGGAGCTATATTTTAGAAAAATGGAATACTCATTGTGGTTGAAGCAAGATTGTTCAGCTTTATAGCCATGTTAGTCAGAGTAGTCTTCCTTAATGTCTCAGGACTAGAAATTGTTTTCACAAGATCTATGAGAAGGAAAGTACGACTCCTCGCTACAATTTTCTCATTTCTGAAATCAAACAACTCAATTTGTAGTCTTGATTTACTCTCCAAATTTTTCATCCCAATGAGTTGATAGCTTGAGAAGTTAATCTCAAAAATCTTGGTGTCATCACCCAAGTCATTGGAGATGCGTATAGAGTCCCAATTAGTGCCTTCTTGGAGGCTTTCATCGATATAGTTGCAGCATATTTCATTTACACCCTTATCAGTGACTTGAGAGAAGATAACTTTAGCCTAAAGAGTTTAAAGGGAGGGTACCTTTTCAATATCTTCTCAGGGAATTTTCTTCGGATCATATTCTACAACTAATTTGTAAGAGTATTGCTTTTGGACTTCTTTGAACTGCTTATAGTCCTCAACCTCATCCATGAGAATCCTAAGAGTTTGCTCTTCTTCCTTGGTGCCAAGAATAGCTGTGCCGCAGGAAGTAGCAGCTTTGAGGAAAGAGAATTCTTGACTCAAGCATTGCACAATATTTTTCTTCCTATCTAAAATTTGGGCTGTGACTTTCAGTGGAAGAAGAGCTCTATTTTTGATTGAACTCAAGATATGAATTATGAGAAATATAGTCCTCTCCATAAGTTGTTCTATAATCCTCAGTCCAGTCTTTTATCAAGATGTCACCGTTAGTAATGAAAAATCTGATTCTCTTGATGCTACCCTCTTGGAAGAGGTTGGATTTTTGGATATGAACTCTCATAGAAAAGATGTATCTCCTCCGTTCATAATCTTTATGCTCTATGACGCTTTGTTCATCGAAGTTTTGGTATTGAGAGGCTGCTCCACCTCCTCTAACTTGGTCTGGCTGATTTTTGCAACAGGCTTGTCCCATTTTATCAAATAATTATTCTATACTATTAAGTTTGATTGGGGTTTTGGGGTTTTGGGGTTTTGGGGTTTTGGGG